AGTATTCCTCAGACCCGACCCGTGTAGCCATCAAATCCGCATTATTAGTCCACCGTCCCCATTAAATACCCCTGTTATTGCTCAAAAAATTCAACTACTGTCTGCAAAATGTAAGCACCTTTCTCACTCTAACTCTCTCCTCTCTCTCTCTCTCTCTCCCTCTCTCCCACACAAACATTATTATCTTCACGTTGCTCTATTTTTTGGTCATGTCTCAGCATTTTGTCATTTTTGCTCGTAATTCTAGCTGTTGATAATGCATTTTATTAAGATTTTGTTTTTCGAACTCTTTGGTTAACTGTAGGACGCGGGTTTGTAGATTTTTTCTTTAAATAATTTCTCCTTGTTTTCAGATTTTATTGCTCTTTTTTTTTTTTTTGTGGTGATACAATGTGATTCATTTGCAATTTCATATTCGTGTGTGAAAATATGTATTAGGAAATGACATAGAACAAGTAATTTTTCTTGGTGCTAAATGCTTGATAGTAGTATATTTGTTAAGAAGCATCAGTACTTTGTTACTTTGGGAGTGAAATTGTTCCATGCTTAAATTGTTTTGTTTTAAGCTCAATTTGAAAACCAAAATTTTGTGGTTTGATAAAAAAATTAATATAGACATAGAAATTTCCAATTTGCTTGATAAACAGATTTGTATTTGTGCTTAATATTCACGTTAAGATTGATCGTAAATTGTAAGTGTAAGATCTTCTTGAACACTTTCTGAAAGTTTTATGAATCCATATGAAATTACACGTGTACTTCGTCTCAAAAGCCTTACCTTCCTCAATGATCAATCAAAAATGGTTGTCTTGTATTAACACTTGTGGTATCATCTTTAAAGGTCAATCTAATTAAGAGTAGTAGTCGAAACCCTTTATATATTGGTCTACATTTTGGTATTTAACCAATGGGGAATTTTATCCCTTAACATCTTGTTTAAGATGCTATGCCCATTTGCCTTTAACAGAATCACACATCGTTTTTTAATGTTATCTTTACCTAGACCTGGCTTATTTTACTTAATTGGGGTCAAGTTCACACACTGTCTGTGTTTTACTTGCTCTAACATAAACATTCCTTTTCTCCTGTAGAATGTAGCTGGTCCAGGCTAGTGACTCTTCGTTTCAGTGCAAAGAAATTTTGGACGTGTGACCTGGGGCTGAAAACTTTTCAGTTTTGACAAAGATTGTGAATTTTCTAAATCCGTTTGAGCTGGAATAATCTAAGAAACACAATGGATAACAAGTCAGGGCTTTGGAAGAAAAAATCTTCTGAGAAGACCTCAGTAGCTGACAAAGCAAACATTTCTTTGAGCTTAAATGAAGAGGAGTTAACTCGGGTTCAATTGCTTATCCTATCCTTATTTATTTTATTTGATGCTATGTGTTTAAGATTTGGCTTCCAAATATTTTTAAGTATCATTCCTCTATATCACAGTAGGTTTACTGTACTTGCATATTCCTCTATCCCACATCACATTTTCCACAAATGACAATCTGGATTTGGCAAGCAGTTGATTTGTCCAATGTGGCTACACCACACAAATATCTAACTCAACCAATTTGTTGAGCAAATTATGTTGCCCTTGAATTGAGAGGCAGGTGTAATTAACTTTATAGAGATATTTCTTTCTATTACATTTTCCAGAGTACGTAACATTTCAATCATACCTAAATATGTTAATTTGAAATGTGTGCAACAATACTAACACTGTTAGCAAGTAATAACAATTACTTAATATCAGTGAGTTACATTTGTCTGCAGGTAGTTTTCTTTTAAAAATAGCACGATGTTCTTAGCATTGGTAACGTAGTGTTCTCAGAGATAGAGGCACTACTAATTTATTGTTTCCACAGGCTGAGACGCTCCTGACAGAGAAGGCCAATCTGGAAAGAGATATTACAATATTAAATAGCCAGCTTTCTTCTGCCCCCACCAAGTGTAATGGCAAGGATGATTTTGCCAAGAAACAGGTGAAGATTGCTCGGGAAGCTATTGCAGGTGAATACTTTACAATAATATTGTAATTAACTTCTTTCTCCTTAGTGTGTTTTGCAATGTGCATAGTTTTTACATAGAGAAGAATTTCTCGATTTTTTTTCCCGACTATTTGGCATTTCATATCTCCTTGATAAATTATATATATAGGTTGGGAGAACGCTGAGACAGAAGCAATATCTTTGAAACAAGAACTTGACAATGTTTTACAGCAGAAAGAAGCTGCTGAAGAAAGATTATGTCACTTGGATGCTGCTTTGAAGGAGTGCATGCGACATTTGCATTTTGTTCGAGAAGAGCAGGAGAAAAGAATTCAAGATGCTGTGATGAAGATGTCAAAAGAATTTGAGATTTCTAAGATCACATTAGATGAAAAGTTAGTGGAGGCCAGTAAGACGCTTGCCAAATTGGATGCTGAGAATACTCAACTCAGAAAATCTCTCTTAGGGAAGGATAAGTTGATTGAAGATCTGAATAAATGCAGAACTCAGATAGAGGCCAATTTTAATGCTCTTATATCTAGAATAGAATCTATGAAAAAAGAGAATGCTTCTCTCAAATACGAGGTTCGAGTTCTTGAGAAGGAGTTTGATATTCGGAATGAGGAAAGAGAATTCAATCGTCGAACGTCTGATGTTGCACAAAGACTACACCTGGAAGGCGTGAAGAAAATAGCAAAATTGGAATCGGAATGTCAAAGGTTACGTCTCTTGGTCCAAAAGCGGTTGCCAGGCCCTGCTGCTTTGGCAAAAATGAAGGATGAAGTTGCAATTGTTGGTACGGATCAAGTTGAAATGAGGGGACGAAAATCGTATCCTTCTCTGGTTGGTTCAATGGACTTCTCTGTAGATGTGACTGCTGATGCCCAGAGCAGGATCGACTTCCTTACTGAGCAGTTGCATGCAGTGGAAGAAGAAAACAGGACTCTCAAGGAAACCCATAAAAAGAAACCGAAGAAACTTGAATTTTCTAGAACCATGCATGCTCGTACAGCTTCCAGATTATCTCAAGCGTCTACTTCTGATATGGGCAGTGATGACAAGGCCAGCTTCCCTGAGCCTTGGGCTTCTGCTTTGATTTCAGATTTGGAGCATTTCAAAACTAGAAAACAACTGGACACATCATCTTGCAAAATTATAGGAACTTCAGAAATGGAACTCATGGATGACTTTGCAGAAATGGAAAAATTAGCAGTAGTTTCTGTTGACTATCCAACAGGAAGTTCCTATCATTCCTCAGATGAAGGTAATGGAATTAGTCGTACGTCAGGTTTGGTCTCCAGACAAGAATTTCAATCTGATAACAGAGTAGTCAATAAGGAGCCTGGTTGGCTTGGTGACACGTTGAAATTGCTTTTGGAGCAAAGTTCTGCAACACAAAGAAGCCCTGGTGAAGTATTAGAGGATATCAGAGATGTTTTGGCACATAACACTTCAAACCCTAGAAGTCTTCATGCCAAGGAAACTACATACATGAATGATGCATCACCCTCTCCTGAACTTAGTGGACATGTTTATCAGAAATTGGTAAATAATTCATTAAGCACTGATGCATCTGTTAGAGGAACTTCCTATAATATCTCAACTGCGAAAATGAGTAGCCAGAAGTTTCAGTCGAGTGTGAGCATATCGGTATGCAAACTGCTTGAGCTCATTGAAGGAATAAGCATGCCATGTCTGGAAAACAGTACAGCAGAATCTTACTCGGGGAAGGATGATAAGCTTTTACAATATAAGAATTCAGAATTTACAACAGGCTACATCGTTCGTGTATTTCAATGGAAAATTTCTGAACTGTCTTCCATTATACAAGAATTTATTTGCACTTGCAAGGATTTATTGAATGGAACGGCCAGTCTTGAACAGTTTGCCCAACAAGTAGCTTCTACTTTGGAATGGATCATGAACCATTGCTTTTCCCTTCAGGACGTTTCAAGCATGAAGGAAGCAATAAGAAATCGTATTGATTGGGATGGATCACAAAGTGATAGTGAATTGGATAGTGAATTGATCAATCATTGTGCACAATCGAACAAATTGCATTTGGAAAGCAATGAGATGCCATACATTCCCTCAGAATATTCTCTGAATGATCATAACAGAGCTTGTCAATTGAAGGAAGTTCAGCAAGATCGAAGACTGAGTGTTGAATTGAAAAATGAGGAATCTTCAACTGCAGATTTGGAACTGAGGCCTCAATCAGATGTTGTCAAGAGTGAATCCTTCGTGGTCCAAATTCAAGAGTCTAGTGGAATTTTGGGGACTTTGCAATCAGAGATGGAAACTATGAAGCAATCAAAGGGAAAATTTGAAGATCAAATGGGAAAGCATAAGTTGAAAGTAGATCCTGAGACCCAGCTTATGGAAGGCAGTCTCGAGTTAAATAAAGAGATTTCATGTTTAGAAAATGAGCTGGAAAAGAGAAATGACTCGTGTAAAAGACTAGATGCAACTTTCCATGACCGACAAATCCAGCTAAAAGGGTATGTTTGTGCTGTTGTTCATATGCGAAAACATCATTTCTGGGGTTTACGTTATTTGTAATTTCAGGATGACAAGCAAGGAAGTTTCAGATGATGGAGAGCACAGGGGGAAACAACTCAAAAATGTAAGATTCAAACCCAGCAATATTATATTTCTTTGAGGTCTTGAAATTTCATTTAAATATAGTTCAATAAATAGTAGTCTAAGTGACATGATCATTCTTTTATGTTTTAGTTAGAAAGTTAATTTTACGAGTCCTTTTGTTTTATTCAGATATATTAAAAACCTTTCATGCAGAAAAGCAAAACTTCATAAAAATGTATTGGATAGTCAAAGGAAAATTGCAGGAAAGACTACAGTCTACAGAATTCAAGTGTTAATAGAAAAAAATGGATCTCATTCTGTCATCAAACATTAGAAAGTAGATGAATTCTATTTAATTTATCTTTTGAGGATCAATCTTGTTTTCTTCGTGGGAGAAACATGGTTGAGACTATAATTAAGATTTGCCTGAAAAAGTAGGAGCTTGTTTGCTTAAGCATAAAAAGTTTACTTATCAACAATTGAGTTCTAAAATATATAGTTTTTTAGTCAGAAAAGCTGGAAATAAGTTATGTATTTTCATAATATGGTGAAAGGTACATCCAAAGAAGTAACTTTTTTTTACTTATAAGTAAAAGTAGTTATCCACATGTTTGGATATAAAAAACTACTTAAAAGTAACTTCAGCTCTGTTTAAGCTTCACCATACATGCTCAGTAAAAAAAGGATAAAGACAAAACTATCCTTGGGATTCACTTGTAAATAAGTGTAGTTTATAAAGTATAAAGCAAATGCTTTTGGTTATGCGTGGCTACAATTTTATTTCATACTGATTTTTGACCATGTAGGATTGGGAGGTCGCGGGAGCTTCACAAATATGGGTTGAGTGCCAAGAAACAGCTCAAAACCTGGATAAGGAAGTTAAGGATTTGGCTTCACCGACAGAAGCAACCCTTTATGACAAGGTCATGTTGACATCTAAGAGGAATATTAGCCAGAGCTCATCCTTACTCGACAAAATGCTGGCCGAGGATAATGTTAAAATATGTGAGCTCAGTTTTTCTTCAAACAAAGAACACATTCAAAATGGAGTCGGCGATTCTGCTATTAGCACCGATGTGGCAATAGAGTCTCGGGTAACCAATTCAAGTAGAATTGATCATAAACAAGATAGGACAACGGCTATTTCCCCTTGTAAGATAAAAGATTGCAGAGGTTTGCTAAAGAAGTTACTGTGGAGACAAAAGAAAAGTAGCAGCATGAAAATACCTGCTCGATGAACTGCATAAATGCTGCTGAAATAAAGTCGACTCGCAGAATTTCGTTTTGATGCTGCAGTTGTTTGAGTCGCCGCCTGGTCTGCTAAAAATGACTTTGCTTATAGACTGGCAAGTTTTGTGCATATCTTTTGTTGGATAAGCATTGTCGCTCATAAAAGTATTCTAACGTCTCTCATTTATCAAATGTCGTATCCATGATTTCATACATACGACAGTTAGTTAATGTATATGTTTGGTTTGCACTATTAAGTTAATAGTACAATAAACAAAATTTAAGCTCGGTTTTCCTAATATTTGTGCACTGCTGCACAAATGGATACAACAATACAAGCATTTGTAGAATGGACCGCCCTACTTGAACAGGGCCACGTAGGCAAGCAGAATAATCCTTGTTGAATAGTCCTAGCTAACCAATAGTAGTAGCTCAATACATCAGTAACTAGAATTGTGCTCAGCCCTTAAAATGAGGGATTACATTCGCAGCATTGAGCCTCAATTGCTACCGTTCTCTCTCTAGCTCCAGGCGATTTTTGGCGAAAATATGGAGGAGCCACCAGCAAGCATCCCAAGGCACCGAAACCACATTCCTGGCCATTACTGGCAACGGACTTGATCCCTCCATCCAAGACCCTTCAACCCACTAGCCCCACGCTTGGTCCCCAAAAATGGTCATTTGGCAGCAGCCCTAGGTGAAAAATCTTTCGTCGCTGTCGCAACTGGTGGGCCCCACTCTCTTTGTTGGACTAAATGTTAGTGGATGAATACTAGATTAACAAATACTGAATGGACATATACTGGATTGACATATACCGGATTTACGAATGCCGTATATGCAACATATCGTATTTATGCGTACCGTATATACATCTTACCGTATTTGCAGCTTACTATATATGCAGCAGCTTACCGTACATGCAACAGATGCAACAGCTTACTGTATATACAGTAGCTTACAGTATGTGTAACTTAGATATCAAATTTGCATATACCGTATATGCAATGAACTTAGATACTACCAAAATATAATAGATTAAATTTTAATAAACTGAACAAATTAATCTAGTTAGCCAAAATATCACAAATTAAATTCCAATAAAACAAAACAAGTAAACTAATTAGCCAAAAGCAAGAAAATTTTAACCGAGGCCTGTGTGAATACAATTTCCTTAAAATAAATTTGCCTCCTCATCGTAGGTGCTTGATAATTAAATTGGACGTTTGTCTCCCATGATACAATGGATGAACAGTAGAATTAAGCACTTCAAAAACTACTCTATCGAACAGATTTTGTGTCAAAACAGTATCACCAAAAATACGGACAAGACCAAGACTATATAAATACAGTACACAGATCGAAAACTTATGAAGAAATTGTTTATGAACTGTTTACACAAACTGTATTTTTCCTTCATGTCTGGGATAGTGGAAAATGGCTCAACGTCATGAATGCCATTAAGTCGTATATAATAACAAAAAATATAGGAGTTTCAACTGTTTTGAAAATTAAACGGTCAGTTGGAAAAAAATAGCAAAACGTAGACTCTTCTAAGGGGCCAATTTTCACATCCGAATCTTATTTCGGTTCGATTTGCTTCCTCTGCGCGCGCATCTAGAGAGAGCTTCTATGCTACACATAATTACACCATTCCAAAGTGCAATCTTATTTAAGGTGGTATTTACTTTCATAGTTTTTCTATGTGGGACAATCTTAAATGATTTCCCTCCAAAACATAAACTTCTTTCAATTGGCACACTTTGAACACTAATTTCTCATTCACCCGAACATCATTTTTGACAAATAAATACATGATTTCGATTTTCTCATGGAGGAGAACACAAATAAATCTTGAACTCCCAAAATAACCAACTGAGTCTCATTTAAATTTTTTTGCCAAAGTTAGAAACTCAACTCATTTTTTCCAACAATCCCCCACATGAATGAAAATTGAGAGAGACACAAGACCGTGAAACAAAAGACATGATGATAAAGTTCAATGATTGAAACATGTATAGAATAGATAGGTATTACCCTTTGAACCTTCTCTTGTAAAAGTATATTTACCTTACTAGCTAACCAGTAGATGCGTTGTCTTTGAACTGTTCTGCCATTTGTGTAAACGATGATATACTCCATACAAGATTCTCCTAACACAAATCTATTCTCATTATTATGTTTGTTTTGTCCATAAACATTCGTCTGGTTCTATGAGAGTTTCTAAGAATTAAGCCCCATACAATTCTCTTAGAAACGGCTCCAGTTCTCTCTCACATAGGTGATTTCTTATTACAAGTAACCCGCATTTTTTGCTCGAACTTCGAAGCACAAGAATCATTAAAAATTTATTACTTATCCTTCATCCTTACTAGCATCACTATTGCATCATAGGAATTGACAAGAGGTAACATCCTCCATAGTGATTTAATTAAGTCTTTATAATTAGGTTGTCCCTTTAAACCTAGATCTTGGGATCTCCAATTAATGAGGTTGGATTTCTTTTGTAGTAACTCTCTATTTAACCTTTTGGTTAGCAAATCCGCAATGTTATATTTTGATCTCACATAGTCAATAGTGATAAATCTAATTGAGAATAATGTCTTATGGTATTATATCTACGACATATATGTCTAGACTTACCCTTGTACACGTTCCTTTGTGCCCTTTCAATTGTTGATTGTTTGTCATAATAAATGTAAATTGCTGGCACATGTTTTGACTATTTTGGAATATCCTCAAGGAAGTTGTGCAACCACTTGACCTCTTCACCACATTTATCTAGAACTATAAACTCGGATTCCATAGTATATTTGGCTATAACTGTTTGCTTAGAGGATTTCTAAGATATGGCAGCACCTCCCTATGTGAACACAAATTCACTAGTGGACTTTGTGTATTTTATATCAGATATCCAATTAGTATTACTATATTCTTCAATGACAGCTGGATATCGGGTATAGTGTAGTCCAAAGTTCGAGTATATCTTAAATACCTTAGTACTTTTACCGTTCATTTCCAGTGATCAGCTCTTAGATTACTCGTATATCTACTCAGTTTACTAACTGTGCAGGGTATATCTTGTCTTATACAACTCATCGCGTATATTAGACTTCCAATAACTCTCAAATATTCTACTTGAGAGACACTTTTATCTTTATTTTTAGATAGATATTGACTTGTATCTATCGGTATTCTAGCCAAGCCAGTATCATCTTTGTTGAACTTTTCTAAAATTTTGTTCACATAATATAACTGACTTAGAACAAGTCCATCTAATGTTCATAAAATTTTGATTTCAAGTATAATATCAGCTAAACCCATACCTTTCATGTTAAATCTTGAATTTAACATATTTTTAGTGGATTTAATCATCTTATTGTCACTATTAACAATAAGCATGTCGTCAACGTAAAGATTTAAAATGACATAACCATCTTCAGTGTTTTTGACGTAAACACATTTGTCACACTCATTGATTTTAAATCCACACTCTATCATGACATTAAAATTTTTCATGCCATTGTTTGGGTGCTTGTTTCAAGCTATATAATGACTTCACCAATTTATAAACCTTCTTTTCTTGCCCTGATGATGAAAACTTCTTGGGTTATTCTATATAAATTTCTTCCTCTAAATCTCCATTTAAAAAGGCGATTTTAACATCCATTTGATATATTTCATAATTTCGCAGAGCATTAGTCGCAAGTATCATCCTAGTAGATATTATTCTCATCACGGGAGAATATGTATCAAAGTAATGAAGGCCTTCCCTTTGGTTGTAACATTTTATTATTAATCTGGCCTTATATTTTTTGATAGTTTCATATGCTTTCATTTTCCTTTTGAAAATTCATTTGTAACCTAGTGGTTTGCTTCCTAAAGGAGGATCCACTAGTTCTCATGTATGATTTTACAGTATGAAATCTTTTTCACTTTTAGTGGTATCTTTCCATTAAGGTCCATCTAAAGAATTCACAGCTTCTTGATAACATTGAGGTTTGCTTTCAAGCATTTAGATTAGAAAATTAGGACCATATGACTTTTTCTGTCCTTTTTCGTTTGCTACATCTAACATCAATCTCTTCTTCTAGTTCTTAGTCTTGACTATTTTCAGTTATTATCTCATATGTTCATTTAGAGGCCCTTACTTCCTCTTTGGACTTATACGAAAATACAAATTCAAAGAATGAAGCATTTCTTGATTCCAATATCGTGTTTTTGTGTATGTCTAAAATTTTAGAATCATACACAAGAAATCGATAAGCACTACTATTGCACGCATAGCCAATGAAGATGCTATCTAATATTTTTGGGCCTATCTTTACCTTATTTGGCATTGAAACAGTCACTTTCGTAAAACACCCCCACACTCGTAAGTATTTATAGGAAGACTTTCTTCTTTTCTATAACTTATAAGAGGTTTTTTTTCATTTTCTTTTAAAGCACCTTATTCAAAAGGTAATTTGCTGATAACACAGCTTCCTATCACATGTTTTGCGATAACCCAGAACTTACTAGCATTGCATTCATCATTTCTTTTAAGGTGTGATTTTTCGTTCAGCAATACCATTTTGTTGTAGAGAATAAGGTGCACTAGTTTTATGTGTAATTCTATGTTGTACACAAAATTCATCAAATTGTGCTTTATACTCATCCCCTCGATCACTGCACAGCACCTTAATTTTCTTAAGTTGATTTTCAACTTCATTCTTATAGAAAACAAATTTCTCTATGGCATCGTCATTGCTTTTAAGCAGATATATATAATAGTATTTTGTGCTATGATCGAAAAAAGTAATAAAGTACTTGTTGCCACCTGTTATTTGTACAAGTTTTAAGTAACATACGTCGTTGTCAATTAAATCAAGTGGTTCTGCATTCAGTTCAATTGATTTAAAGGTTCCGTTCAATTGATTTAAAGGATGACCTTATTAATTTTGTCTCAACACAAATTTCGCACTTATTGTTGGAATCAATGTAGAACATGGGTATGTATTTCAAATTAACTAGTCTACGTAAAGTATCATGATTAACATATCCTAGTCTACCATGCTACAAATTGGAAGACTCAAGCATATAAACAGAAGAATTTGCTTTATTAATTTTCAGTTTAACAACCATTACATTTAATTTGAACATACCATCGGAAACATAATCTTTTTCAACAAACATTTCACCTTTTGACAAAATAATTTTGTCTGACTCAAATACAATATGAAAATCATGCTTATTCAAAAGTGATCTGGACACAAAGTTCTTACAAATTTTCGGCACATA